CAGAGGGCTATACCGAAATCTAGCCAGCCCCGAGTTTATCAAGGCCCGCGCTACCCCCTGATTATCAGTCTGCATGACAGTCTTCCGGGCTCCCACTTCGATGGCCAGCTGGATACCTCGATGACACACGCCAACAGTTCAGCATGTTCCAGTCAGCAACAGATGGGGAAAATGGCATGCTCTACTCCCACAAACATGCCATGATGACCGCGCACGACCGCTCCACCGCCCCCTGAATCGTCCACCTTCGCCATTGCCCCGTCGATATTCACCTTCATGGCCCCCTGAATCGTCCACCTTCGCCGTTGCCCCGTCGATATTCACCTTCATGGCTTCATCCGTCCTTGGTCAGGAGGCTGCCAAGGCTCTGTTAGCTTAACATGACTCCCTTAGCCGCATCAGGTGCCAGACCAGTCCAGCAGCCATCTTCCAGGGGCTTGTTGCGAGTTGATTATATCCGGCAGACAAAAAACATTGTCATTGATACGAACTTGGTACAAGTACTGATGTCTAAAAAAAACTTGGTACAAGTACTTTCAGCTGGCTAAGAGCTTTAACATATTTTTTTATTGGCACTAATTTTTTTATATATACCTGCACTACTAGGGTTTCCCTAGTAGTAGCGCTTGTTTTATACCTAGCAGTAGCGCTTGTACGAGCGCTACCACTAAGGCGCTACAGCTAACTAGTAGCAGTAGCACTGGAAAGAGAGCGCTACTGCTATACCTAGTTAGCAGTAGTGCTTTCTTTGGCTCAGCGCTACTGCTAGTAGTAAGTAGCAGTAGCGTTTCTTCTGAAAAGCGCTGCTGCTAACTTTTCCTGTATTTTAAAAAATACAGCTTATTTTCGTTGTAGTTTTATATACAATAGTTTCATCAATTGATTTTATGACCATGATTAGTTATTATACAAAAGTCACTGGTGGGTCTTGGCCAGATGGTTTTCGAGGGGTGTTTACTGCTTCCAACACTAGAGCTGATGACCTGAAAGTCATGTTGCTTGATTTTGGAGATGGTGGATTGCCTGTCGGTGCTGATGGCATGATCAAGCTCTCACGCAGTGTGCTTTCTGTTGGCCTTTGGGAGATGCTCAAAGTTTCTGCCATGGCATATCCTATTAATGACGACGAAGTTGCTGACAGTGCTGAGGTAGCCTTAAAACCTGAGATGGCCGGTATAAGTCCTGTTGTGCTGAAGGTTGGCTCATGTAGTATGAAAGTGAGTGTTGCCTGGTCCCTATTCCGTCGTTAATCCTGACCTGAGAAGGGTGATGCCAAGAGCTGTGAACCCATTTGATCTTCTGTACTTATGTTATGATGTAGTGGTACCTGAGATCTGTTGTACTTATGTTATGATGCACTCCCTCTGTATCAAAATATACGACGTTTTTGTAGGCTTGTTTAGCCTACAAAAATGTCTTATATTTTGGTACAGAGGTAGTAGTTGTAGCTACTAGTTGTAACTGACAATGTAACATTTGATCACCTCACTTTTGTTAATACTACTATGTATGGGTAATTGTCTCGATGAAGCCATTGGGCCTATTTTTCGTAGACGCACAATCTTGATTACTTAATTTTTTATGTGCATCATACTCCATGATATGTTGCAAAATTGCATGACTTTTTTATTAGTAATTCTGGTATAGGAACTTAGAAGTGCAGTGAGCTGGCTAACAGCTTTTGTGTAATTTTTATTGGCACGAATTATTATTTTTATCCCTGCAGGTATACACAAGAGGTGTTTACATTGGAGGTTCAGACTACTAAAATGTGTAAAAACTTTATAAAAAAATGTGGGAAGTACAAACTTTATAAAATTGACATAAACATCTTCAAAAATGTGTGAACACCCAAAATTACATCAACATTTCTGTAAATACTTAAATACTTTGTAAGTGTTGGATATTTTACATTATGCAACATATTTATAAAATGCGTGCACAAATTTTAAATAACATGAGCTTTTTATTGGGGG